TTACCTTGTCTAGTGGTCCATTCTTTCAAATTGATCCTGTTATCTTTCAAATGTCCCAAATTTTCGGGCAGCACCACGTTTGATAGATTTTTGGGCGTATGACGAAGAAAAGGTGAAGTGAAACGCTCCTTCACTATGCTCAACCCGGCACCCATGCGATATGATACTACGTATTCTATGTAGGAAGTATCGTGTAACCGCTCTGTCAATGGCATAACCGACTTGGTTCATTCATTCTCTCGCAAACGTGCCACGTTGAATGCCAAATAACGCAGCTTGCCAATGCCAATACCCATTCATTTAAGCGTATCTTTCGCCGCGTATGCCGGCGGCGTCTTCTTATTGGCAGGTTTTTTTTTGCCCTCTCCGTGCATTTTTTCATTGATTATTTGTAAATGAAAAAATGTGGCAGCATTTTGTAAGTGCGACATCTCTGCAACAACCTAGTGGCTGTTCTTTCTCATCTGGATAAATTGGACCGCGTTAAGCAGAAATGAACCAAGCTGATGCACTGGAAAAAAAGTCGCTTGGATCTAGAGTCCAGATTCTTAGTAACATTGACAAGAAAAAATACTCTTGATTCAATCCGATTTTTCCTTTAATCGAAGAGCCAAGTCTCTTGATTTATGCAGATTTCCTTTTGATTCAAGCAAAGTCCGATTGAAATAATATTTTTTTTCTTGTCAATGTTTTCAAGAGTCTGAACTTAGATCCAAGCGACTTTTTTCCAGTGTGGCTTGCGGGCAGTTAAATTTTTTACATGAAAATGGTTGTGTGGATTTTTGTTCAAATTTCAGTGAACTTTCTGCATAGTGGGAAGCGAATTCCTCGAAATTTTCATGGGAATCCGCTCGAACTTTCTCTTGTAAAAAAACTAAATTGCTCAGTTAAAATTGGCGATGACTGATGTGGCTTGGTTCCTTTCTGCTAAATGCAGCCCAATGCCAAATATTCGATAACGTTCATAACTCAGAAACCTCAGTAGACCCAATCGCATCGTAAATCATCATGCCAGAGATTTTTCAGGACGTAGAGTGAATATCGCGAATATCGATCCTTTGAATGTAGCTGCAGTGCGAAACGAGGTAACCAAATTCTACATACATATATAGTTCGAGTGCGGGAGGGAAAGAGAGGCGACCTCGTCAAAGATAAGCCTAATTACCGTCTGTCTGTGTTTACCCACCGCGAACTTATGGATAGGAGACGACGCCTTATAATGAGGCTCGCTGTTATCAAATGGTCAAATATTATTTTGCTTTCAACACTCAATGTGGCGTGAAATGAGCGTATTTTACCGCAGATTTGGTAGTCTGGAGCTCCGGTCGGCTCAAGTGGAGGTGTGCATAAACTTTATATCTATCTATGAGCATAGTACTAACTCACTGACTGACTCATTCACGTATTTAGCATATGTGCGAATTCCGGAAACTGCCTACCCCACCGGCTCACACTGGACCAAGTTAATTGGAAAATGCGGACGAAATCAGGAAACTTTTAAAGCTTAATTTTCGAAAATATATAATAAAAAAGTTTACGAGCGGTGCCACTGGATCTCTCGTAAAATTTCCTCTCGGAAACACCCTTTGAAATTGAATCTGTGACAAAATAAACGTAAACATTTGACATTTTAGCCAAAAATTTCATGTGCTAGCCCCTCTATTATCTCGTTCCTCTGTGCGGCTATGGTCGGTGCGAACTCTCAGAACATCGATCATTTTCTAAAGGTGCAAATGACGGATCAGTTATTGATTCATAGTAAAATACGACTCGTTTCACGAAAAAAACATCTCAGCGCTAAGTAAGCCCTAACACTTAGGGCAAAATAGCGCCAGCTATACAGGCAGTAGAGCTCAGTGTTGCTGCCTGTAGTTGGCGCTATTTTACCTGAAATGTTAGGGCTCAATGTTAAGTTGGTTTTTCGGCTGCGATAGGATTGCGTGAATGGCCCCTTTTTACTTTTTGGAGATGCATAGGATTGCGCGAATTTTTCTGGTACTGAAAACTCACATGTTTGCGCGAATATTCAATATTCGACGAGGAAGCTTTAATCTTTAATCTCGTAACCCTGGTAGTTTGTGGTGGATAACTGGACTGCATTTTGCAATTTGGAACTATAAATTCTGGCCCGGTTTAAAAACAACGCATGTGCCATTAGTTTCCCTATGCACATAAGTGTTTTTTTCAGATGAGCCAGAATGTATAGTTCCAAATTGCAAAATGCAGTCCAACTATATCGCAGAAGACTGTTCATCCCCTCCTTACTTACAAGCATGTCTACTTCGATAGATAGCCGTCGCAGCAAGAATGGCCCAGAGAGCTTTAATAGAAATTTAAAAACCGAACTAAAGGCCTGTGGCCGCTACGCAGCCACCAACCATTGAAAAAACTACACGTCAAAAATCGTAGAACAACCATGTTCGAGTTTTCTTAGAGATGGCTGGATTCAAAACCCGACGGGTGTTCCCGAAAGAAAGCGTATATTTATCTCAGATTGCAACGTTATGCACTACTTTAAACTTTTATTTTAATAAATGTTTTTAAAAAGCTACACACTGTTTTTCTGGAAAGTTTCCACGAATTTACCTAAATGGTATCAAATAAAAGTATCCATAATTTCGACGCAATTTTTAGTTTCTTCTATTTTCTTTTAACGTAACCAAAAAAAAAAAATAAATATCATCCGAGTTTCTGAATCGTTACAATGAGGATACATATATCATACCTTTAATTATGGTAAAAACTGGAGTAGAAAGTCAAGAATGATGACACGCAGTCCTACAGCATTCCTATCGTCTTGTAGGCACTAATATGCGTTTCACCACGCCAACGACCAAGTGCACTGCGTTTGGTGCAATGCGAGAAGTATTCATGCAGTCTTGTAGGCGCTAATATGGGCCTTACGCTGACTGCACTGTTTCGCGCAACGCGTGAAGTATTCCTGCAGTCTTGCAGGCGCTAATATACGTTTGACGCCAGCCGCACTGTGTTTGGCTCGATTATTCGAACTGGCGTTAGAATAATCGCGGCATCGAATGATAGAGCTTAATATGCCCATGCTCTGTTCCGACGCCGTACAAGCATTCCGACGTTGCCTCGTTTCTCCGATTAAATATTTTTTCCCGAGAAAAGTTAGGAAAGTTCTTTATACCCACGACCATTATTCAATCTTTTCACTTCATTTATCATCAGAAGGTAAGACTTCGATGACTTGTAAAGAAACTACCTAAACCAAAGTTAACATAAAAATGCGCGTTTATTTTCCAACTGTTTCCTGTTTTGCCAAACTTCTACCTTAAATTAACTTTATTTTAAATTCGCGCATTCCTATAGCAGGTGTCAAGGTTTCGCGCATTTCTTGTGCCTTTTTTGTGCTATCCTCGTATATTTTCTTTGACTTTCGCGCTATCCTGGATTACCGGGTTTTTCCATGTACATACCTATACACATAGCGCCTCGTTTTCTTTCACCTAATCAGTCACTGTGCACAATCACATTTTGAACCGACATGTCTATTTTTGTGTGAGCCCTGGACTCCACGAGACAGGGGCGAGGCGTGCACTATCGATTATCGATATTTCTCTGTTTGAAGTTGTCGTAAATAATCGATTATTAAAACTGAAAAAATTACTGAGGTGTTTGTTGCGAACACTCAGTTTATCGATCCTTTTCCATTGGTTTAAATGACAGATCAATCGATACATCGCGAATCACGCTACGCCACCGCCACAAGAATAAACATATCCTCGCGCCTACCAAAAATTAATGTGTTCCAGGTGTAAAAATAAGGCCAAAGGTTCATTTTCAACGGGAAGAGGGCAAAGAAACTTGAGAATAGACCACTAGACAAGGTACGAATCTAAGCATTCTGATACATGTTTCTTAACCAGAATTTCACGCAGAGCACGATTCGCGCAACGAAAACTAATGAAACAAACTCCAAACGAGGATATTAACGTTTTTATTTCACATTGGTTACGAGGAATTTGAACTGCCCGCTCACAAGAAACTCAAAGTTCTACGTGAGTCAAATCCCGCACTACAACGGTTTCAACAAGTTTCTCAATCGAGTAATGTTCATTTCCCATTATATGTTGTTCAAACTATAAGCAATTTGCTACAGCTGAGCCAAAGCGTCAAGATTGAGGTTGCCAGATTTTTATATCGCAGAGACTGTCATGATAACGTTCAGCGCACGATGTGAATCACGCAGAGCATTGAGTTTTCATGAGCGCGTGGTTTGAATTCACACATCAAGAATCATTAAATATCTTTGGAAGGAGTTGATTTCGGTAATTTTCGTTGTGCGCGTTGCAAAATTTTAGGTAAGAAACATGCATCAGAATGCTGAAATTCGTACCTTGTCTAGTGGTCCATTGGTCTCTGTGTGCGGGCGGGCGGGCGCGGCACAACGGTAGGTGTGAGCCGGACTGTTAGTGGACCAGCTTTGCGCAACCACCGCCGCACAGTGGATCAAGCCAATCAGAGCGGTTGGCCATGAAATTCTTGACTAAAAGTGCGAATTGTTACGTTTATTTCGTCTTATCTTAAATTTCAAGGGGTGCCTCTTGACGAAAATTTCACGAGGAAACCAATGGATCCACCTTTAGAACCTCAAAGTCTTGGGTAAACGGAGTTACAGGCGTTTAAAGTTTCCAATATTTTGTCCGACCTCTCCCGTTGACTCGATCCACCGTGCGCCGCCTCCCGAGTCGCGCCTTTTGGCCGCAGCAGCAACGTGACGCATGCGTATCCGTTCTTCATGCGTAACATCTGCTGTCTAGAGTACCTTTATAGACAGAGCATGACCACTGAAGGTTCCACGTGATTGTCTTCGAAATTTTAGGCCTTTTATGGAGCTTCTAGAATCCAAAAAATGGCCGACATCACATGCAGACCATTCCCAAGTGCAGATAATGAGATTTTATTGGCATGTATGAACTTGAATTTTACTGATATTCCGAAGGTTCTAATTTTGAATATATTTTGTTTTGTTTCAGATTGAGAAGGAAACTTTCTAAAGGAAGCAAATGCACCGGTGACATTAACTGACAATATGACCTCTCCGGTCCTGACGATGAAGCCCCTCTTCAATGAAAACGGTAAAGACTTATCATATTTATTGATATATTATAGATATTATATTATATAATATTATTATTATATATGTTGATATTTGAGTGGGATTTACGTAACGCTGAAGTCATTATGAATAGACTGACTTACAAAGTGCGTCAACTTCCTTATGTTTCAAGAAATTGTCGAAATTTGAAATTTTCACGGACTGTAGAGTAATTTTTCTTCGTTTGGTGGAGAATGTATGTTCAAAATAGCATGCAGTCTCGGATTGTACCATCCATTTTTGGATAGTTAAAGTACATTTTACCGGCACTAAAGCCTTACAACTCTCCTGTACGCAGCAAATTCCGCCCTCCTGCATGTTGACCCTCGGACCCCTCATCAGTTAAGAAATGCATCCCCGCAGTGCTCTTCCTAGAAGCGCCTATTTCAATTTTTTATTTTTTTCTTGTGCAGTTCAAACGAGGAAACAGCCAGTGTCTTTGGAGGCCTTTAACTAGAATTAGCCTAACTACATTCAACGTCGTTTTATTTCTTCTTTGTTTTCTTCTACTAAACCGAAAAGCAAGTTAGATAGTGCCGGGAATCTTTCTGTGAATAATGGTTTAAAAATTTCACGATTGATTATTTTTTTATTTTTGTTTTTTTTTTAGTTTTTCTAATGAGAAAATAAGAGGCAAGAGGATTTTAGTGAACGAGTCCCGGAAGAAATTAAAACTCGTCTATTCGCAGTAAAGACAATTTTTTTCTTGAATCAAGAATGATGTTGCTCCGGCCACTTTTTTGCTTCACCAAAGAATTTTCTCGCCTTGTTTCCAGAGAAATTCATGCTGAATCAAGAAGGAGAAGAAAAAAATAAACTGCGGCAAATTCAAGAATGCATTATGCTGTCTCTGATCGTGCTTGAGCCAAGTAATATTTTTTGTCAGTTTAACCAGGGTTGCTACAGTCGGGAACTACCGGGAAATATCAGGGAAAACTATGAAAATGACGAAAATGTCAGGGGAAAGATAAATCACCTTCATTTGCTTTCTAGAACGGGTTTGTGATTTTGAACAAGAAGTTATGCCTGAAAACTATTTTCAATTATGCCTTCTTAACCATCCGTCGGATCTTCAATTGTCATGGAATTTCACCAAAATATGTCAGGGAAATCAGGGAATTTCATTTTCTGAATTCTGTGGCAACCCTGTTTAACGTAATTACGCTGCGATTTCAGTTGAATACGGTTGTTATTTTGAATGTAATTTTCTCATATTACATTATGTTTTTCTATCTTTGTTTCTTTTGCAGGGGTTTCCTCGCGGAAAAGTCGAATCGACATGGGGCAAAGCAGATATTTCTGTGACTGCTGTCCCTATGGTTACCACATAGACTTGGATTTCGTCAGATTCTGCGAGACCTACTCCAAACAATCCTTCGACTCGCCGAGCAAACAGCGTCGGAGAGAGCGGAGGCGGAACCGACAGTCAATGGAAGTCCTACTAGGAATAGCCGAAGGATCTGTAAGTTTCTCCTTTTATCCTAGCTGTGCATTTACTCAAAATTCGGCAATTATCAAATTCCTAGGCAGATAGTCAAATTTTGATAGTTTACAAAATTCGGTAAATTTAATTGTAAAATCACCCAAACTATGGAAAACCTGCCGGCAAGAACTGTCGAAAACCCGATGAGGAAATTACCTTGGGTATTCATTCAGATTTTCCTCTCACTGGAAAAAAAAGTCGCTTAGATCTAGAGTCCAGACTCTTAATAACATTGGTAAGAAAAAATACTCTTGATTCAAGCCGATTTTTCCTTGAATCGAAGAGCCGAGCCCCTTGATTTAGGCGGATTTCCTTTTGATTCAAGCAACAAGTCCAATTGAATCAAGAGTATTTTTTCTTGTCAGTGTTTTTAAGAGTGTGTTTTCTAGATCCAAGCGACTTTTTTTCCAGTGCTCCAAAATCAGTATAATACCACAAAATGCCAAAAAAATTCTGTTATCCTAGACTCAATGTTCACTATTAATGTGACCTTGCAGGTGCACACAGAAAAAATGATCTTCATACTGATAACTCAAAACTGAAATAACGGGTCTAGTCAGCATTTTCTCCTTAGGTATACAGTCTTATAGTTCGCCGTAGCGCTTTTTTCTAGAAACAACATTCACTTTTTCATGTTTGGCCAGTTGGCTCTCGAGTTAGAGATTGGAATAAATGTCTTTTCGGAAACAAAGTTTTACTTTTAATTCTTCGAAAACATTAAAGCGAGGTATGCCTATAGTTGTTTTTTTTAAATTTTTTTTTGTCAAAATTGCAAAATTAGACTCCTATATTCTCAAAAGGAACCAAAATAATAGCTGTAAATTCAATGTGCTTTAATCCAATGGGAAACGCGATCCTTCCTTCGCGCTTCGTTCCTTATTTGAAAGCGCCTGTAAATAAAGGCATGGCAACACAACTTGCAAAGACCTGCTTACGGTATCCAGTCAGTTTGAAGGCGATTTATTGGCGCCGCATCTACATTTTCTTGTTCGATGCTTTTTCGCCTCCTCCTTGACGCATTGCAATGATACATGCGTAGCGTCAAGCAAACCATTCATAACTACTATGGTCGTTTTAAAAAGAGACTTATGTGTGGTATCTACGTAATCTCTTGAAAACTTCCTTGATTTTTTTTTCTCTGTCGGCATAATATGCTGTAAAAATTTCCAGCTACAAAGTTGGCCCATTTTTTTCCGAAAAAAATTGAAACCACGTAAGCCGAACTATGTTTTTAAAAAAACTACCAAGTAAAACAAAAAAGAACATTGGCCAAGGAAAAGTTGGCGATTTTCATCTCTAAAATATTTGAAAAGTCAAGGAATTTGTTGTCTCCAAAAGAATTTGGTGATTTTGCGAAACAGCTATGATCACGATATTTAGTGATTACCTTCGATGTGCCCAAAACGGTCCCGCAAATCGATTTATTTGGCAACGCTGCCACATGCAGAAGACAGTAAATAATTATAATAGGTTACGATTTTAACATATTTCCAAGTAACTTAACTGAGAAAGTACAGAAGGAGGTTAAGTATGTTCTTGCGACCCAGTTACTCCAAAATATTTTAAAAATATTTTAAAAATATTGTGACAATATTTTAAAAATAGTTTTGTGCTATCTGGGTAATGAAGTCAGGCGACTAATTGCAGAGTGAATAGTCGCCGTTTTATTTACATACATTTATTTTAATTTACTTCTTCCTTTTTTTCGATTTGATTAAATACTGTAAACACCTTACTTTTATGCAACGACGACATTGAGTGACACATTTTGTCATCTCAAGCTGAAAAAACTGAAAGCAACGCGGTCTTTTTTTTAAAAATAACGGTATGCAACATGGACATCCCAAGAAAACGAATAGTTGCATCCAGACCTAGCTATTGATAAAGCCGTACCTATCGCCTTCAATTTTTTCAGCTTGTGATGACAAAATGCGTGACTCATTGCACTCATGTGTTGTCGTTGCCCAAAAATAGGGTGGTTTTTGTAATTAATCAAATCGAAAAAAAAAAGGAATAAGTAATTTATTGATAGATGTATTTAAATAAAACGGCGACAATTCATGCTGCGATTAGTCGCCTGATTTCAAGGTACATATCGACGGTGAAACTACCAAACCACGTATCTCGGTTTGCGACGTCGCAGACTTCCTGTCATACTTTATTTTTTAAATGAAATACTACTTAATGTCCAGTCTTGGAAAGTGTGATTTTTCCTCTTTGTGCGGAGAAAATTCCGTGAAAATTTCAAGGAATGATATTGATTTGGTCTACTTCAAAAAAATAAAATGTGAGCGTAGATTTTTAAACACCGCAAACGAGATACGTGGTTTGGTAGTTTCACCGTCGATATGTGAGACGTAGGTATGCTCTTCCCGACCCTTTCGGCCAGAACTCGGCTTTCAGCTTCCGCCGCTATAGCTGTGGTGCGAAGTGTGAATTATAACAAGTTTGCAGTCATGGCTGAAAACAAATATAACCGTCTGCCGTTGATGAAAACGAATAAATTCAATGCAAGGGAATTCTTTCAAAATGAAAACTTATTTGCTTTTAGCGTTGCGGCGGTTTTTTTTTTTCATTTTATCAACAGCAGACGGTCATATTTGGATTGCATTTTGCAAAAAGGAACCAGAAGCATTGACATGTTGCTAAGATTGTGCGACTTCACCCTTTGCAATAAAATTACTGGAATCGTGCAAAAATATGAAATGTACATGGTAATTTTGGTCTTAAATTTACAGTTTTTAGCGTGTGAAATAGAAAATGTTTATAGATGACCAGGTTTTTCTTCCAAGACAAGATAAGTTGCACAATCTTAGCAACATTGCAATGCTATTGGTCCCTTTTTGCAAAATGCAGTCCATTTGTTCTCGGCCAAGACTGCAAAGTTGTTGAAATTCACATTTCGCGCCACTGGTCTACCAGCGGGGGCCAAGTTCTGACCGAATGGGTCGGGAAGAACATAACCTACGTTTCACTTACCTTGACCTGATTTCATCGGAAAGTACAAACTTAATCTTCTTCTGCACCTCCTCATTTCAGTTACTTGGAAATATGTTGAAATTGTAACCTATTAATTTTTTACTATCTTCTGCGCGTGGCAGCGTTGTCAAATGGTGCAGTTTGCAGGACCGTTTTGGGCTTATCGATGGGAATCTCTGGATATCTTGATCAACGTTGATTGCAAGACGACAAGTATCCTTGGATATTAAAGATTCCTTGACTTTTCAAATATTTTGAAGATAAAACAGCTTCCCCAAGGCTCTTTCAGTAGTTTTTTTATGAAAATTCTGAGCACGAAGCATCTTGTGAGAAATGCAAAGTTTCGGATGGAGGAAACAATTTCCGCAGAGAAATTACCTAACTTCTCTCGATTTATCAGGGTTGGGTAAAATTATTTGAATCTAACGCATCGGCAGTTCGCCTGCAATTTTTGGTGTAGGCAACGCGAGCTCCCACTTACAATTAGTCAAATACTGGTATCGTCGTGAAATGACACATTTCCTCACAACGCACAAAAAGTAACATTTTACAGAAGTAGAAGAGGCTACCTTAAAGTCACGCCAGTTCGCCTTCAGTTTTACGTGGTCAAATAATGGTATCGATTGAGTTGATCAAAGATAACAAAAAACGTTCAATTGTGTAATCTTCATTCCCGTTTGTGACATCCTTGAGCCGCGTTGTCTTAACTCTCTCTATAAAGGGATTCTAGATCACCAAAAATGCAACGCACATGCATTCAGAACTCACAAAAAATATCCTTTTACTGAACTGAAGGAGTCACTTTAACACCATGGCAGTTCCCAATATCATTATAGTTCTTTGATTTTAAATCTCTCTCCAATTTTATACAAAACCTTTTGGAAGAGATGTACTTTTTTCTTTTTGCGCATGGACTTTTAGAATATCATGTAGTACATCCGTACGTTTTTCTCCCTCCTTAGCTTGTGCTCTTCTCAGTTTCTCAGCAAAGGCGTGGAGTGCTTTGCAATATATCGATTTTGATGCCATTTAAACCTATGGAAAAGGATCGATTCACTGGGTGTTTGCAGCGAACACCTTACTAATCAATTCTTTACCATAGATTTAAATGGCAGAACAATCGATACATCGCAATTCACGCCACGCCACTGTTTCTCGGCCAGTACCTATACTAATCCTTGGCTTTAATCTTTGTTTTAGGGTGTGCTTTCTAGTCCTAATCTAGTTTCAAATCAGAGGCCTTTAGCATCACCGCATGTCAGCGACTCGCTTCAAAAAGCTGTGCTGGACTTTGAGGAGGCGTTAGAAAAATCCTCAAATCGACTGAGCGGCAGTAGTCAATGGACTGACACCACTATTCCTCCACCTGACGGCTTTAATGCTGGTAAGTTTTTTCAATTTATCTTCATACTCACATCTCGTGAATATTTTCAAATTATATATCAATTCTTGGGAGAGTAGCGGTAAGAGCCAATTTACTCGGAGGATCCATTTGTACATACTACGCGGCTCCATGCTGTCACAGATACGTCAACAACTCCCCTCATTAAATGGGATAAATCACACAATTTAGTGAAAAATAGTGTTGAATCAAATCGGTACCGTTCGAGGCATCTAGTGTATTGTAGGGAAAGTTATTTCAGTTGATAATAATCGTGAATAGATGCAAGTGCTTAAAAAAAAAGAAATAAACAAAAGAGAGAGAAAAATACAAATGTTGGACACTTTTCAGGAGAAATTAATTTTCAAATTTCAATTCCTTCTTTTTTCAAGCAGGCGTTTTTTCCCATTTATGGCAGGGATTGACACCCTCTTTCTCTTCCTCCACTCCCGCGTAAAGCACCTCTCGACCCCACTCCTTCCTGGTGCCTTGCGTAATTTATGGACAGCCCCTCCCCCTCCCTGATTCCTCATGAATCTCGTTTTTGTATAAAGGGTGATCTAAAATTCCCACACCACTAGCAACCGGCATCACCCTTCTACTGCTGTGCTCAGGAGAAACGCCGTAAGAGTCTTCCGGCGTTCCCATATTTCCTTCGATGTAAAACGAACGATTCATCGGGAAAATTATGAATATTTTTCTTCCGTTTTATCAACAAATTTTTTCGCAATTTTATCGAATACATGCGAAAATTTCAAGGAAAAATGTGCCGAATTTTCCCTAAAAATAAGTAGTCCAAATCGGGAAATTTGGTAATACTTGAATGTTCATACGGCGTTTTTCTTTAGCACAGCAGTGCAACTTCTAAATAAATCAAGGTAGAGACTTTAAATTTTATGAGTGCTCTAAGGTCAAAGGAAACCACTATTGGGAATCCACAGAATTCAAAGGGACCACCCTAAAAAGGGACAAGAACCCTAGGGGTTACAGAGATGGTGCGGTACTTCCGGATCACCCCGTAAATCATATGACTTCTGCTGTTCTAACCGAATTAAGGAGTTTACATCTATTTAAACTAGATTGAACGCATTTGGACCGAAACTTTGGAAAACTTGGGCGTCACTGCCCTCCTGGGTATGACGGCGGACCGCGAGCGGCGAACAGCGCTGTCGTGCTAAGGAAGAACGCCGTATGTACATTCGAGAGTTGCCAAATTTCCTTCGATGAAGCGTTCATTTTTGAGGAAATAAATGAAAATTTTTTCTTGAAATTTTCAGGAACTTTAGGTGAAATTGCGAACAAAATAATCTGAAAAATGAGAAGAAAAATAATCATAAGTTTACCAGGCAATTCGTGTTTTATCAAAGTAAATTTGGCAACGCGTGAAAGTTCATACGGCGTTTTTCCTCAGCACGGCAAGGCGGACGTTGCGGGTCGTGGCGCGCGGGGGTCGGGGGAGCCGGACCCTCCTCGCCACTATCACCTCATCAGATGTTTACTTACAGTTCTCCGCGACACCACACTTGGGATGGCCGCATCGCCACGCTCGCGTTTCGCCGGTTTCACCTAACCTCTTCGCGTCCACACCAGTCCTAGATGGATTCCTCACATTGCTATTGTGTCATGTTCGTGGGCATTCGGTTCCAGTGTTGAAGTTTCTCGTTTTCGGAGCGACGTCTCGAACTTCATTTCTTCCGGGTCGGTAATTTTTCCACGTGACGCCGTCGATTCTGCAAATCTTTCAAGTGCGAAAACCCACCGTCGATGAGATTATTTACACTTAGATAAGAAATCCAAGTCGGTTATTTTATGTCGAGGAAGACATTTTGTAATACTAATCGCTCTCTTCCCATTTTCACCCAGTTAAAGGAGTCTTACGAAGCACTGTAGACAATTTAAACGCTCTTTATTTGGGAAGTGTTTACTGAAAGAGAACCAGTGTTAAAAGGAAGGAAGAAGTCTGCTCGTTAAAATTGGTCGGCAGAATCCTTCATTAATGTTCATGAAGAGGACATGTTTAGTGTCAATAATGTGAATAGAGTTATTTCAGTTTTTTCCGGATTTAGTCGAATAAACGAGTATTTATTCGGCGTGTCTCGTCGTAACTGGACTCTTTTCTGTGTACGGATGGATGAGCGAAACTTTATCAGGAAATGAAGCAAAGTGATCAGTTGTTTCCCTTGTGATTGTCGTAAAGAGGAACTCAATTTCTGAAACTGTACCTTTTGCTGCTCGAGTCCAAAACCATCGTGTTACGGATAATTTTTTTTCAAGTTGCTAACAAACTGACCTTCTGTTTTTTGGAACACGTGGTCCTCTTTCTCTGAGCGTCGCCCTTTTCGGTTTGAGGCTTTTATACCGTCGACTTTTAACGCAAATTCTTTATTCGAAGTTTTAAATCGGTACAAAATTAGAACCGGTGTTTCTGTAAAAGATCGGTGATATATCTTATGCGGACTTGATTCGTGGCATTGGATTACGGCAAGACAGCTCCGCACGACCAAAAACTACGATTTTGTCAATGACCTCGTCCAAACGGACGATTTTTGGCTTTTATCAGATTATTTGACTCGTAAGTTTCATATTCTTCCTTTTTATTTCTGTTACACGTCCGTTATCTTACGTTATTCATATGGGAGTGGGGAGAGGATTCCATAGCCTCTGTTCGCGTTACACAATGGTTTTAAATGTTTTTGTAAAGGTCAGGATGTAAGTTAAAAAATATCATTTAGAAGATAAAATGGGGGAGGGGGGTGTAAAAATTTTCCAAAATCCCCTAGATCATGGGATGTCCAAGATTCGAATTCCTCCTTTCGTTATCTTACGAGTATGTTATGAGAGAGGAATGTAGCAGTGGCGTGCCGCGCTTCACGATATATCGATTGATTTTCCATTTAAACTTTTGGGAAAAGATCGATGAACAGGGTGTTCGCAAGGAACACCTTATTAATCGATTATTTACTACAGCTTCAAATGGGAGGTATCGATAATGGATCATCGATCACTCACGCCTCAGCACTGGAATGTAGAAATAAGAGGGGGTAGCCGGTAGCATCAAACGATAACACAACTTTCCCGAAGTTTTGTTTTTCTCAGTGCAGTAATTGAACTAGTAATTTTTTTCTTCCCGCGGTGCCCTCTCCCCCTGAAATGTGGAGGAAAGTGCTCCAAACTCTCCTAATTATTATTAAAATCTTTCGTAGTTACATAGTTTCCGAAACCAAAGCGGCAGCGTTGCCGGATCTGCTAATGCTTCCATTTGTTATCTTTCCTATCTAGTGACATAAATCAAGGTTTACAACTTCGAAGGTTCCCAATCGATGTCCTACAAAAGAGGAAATTGAAACCACTAATATTTAGTCCGAGGGTGGCTCTCGAAATTCTTAGTGAAAAATAATGGGTAATAATCGTGCTGAGTTTAGTGGAAGGAAATAAATTACACGAACAGTTTGTGGATTCACTTATTTATACTGGAAAATCAATGAAATATATAGATGGACCAAGTACGAAACCACGTATCTTGATTACAGTGTTTCAAAATTCCCGCTCCTAATTTATTTTTGTCGTGAAGAAGTAAGCCAACTTTCGAGCTTGAAATGTGTACAGAATATTCCGCCAACAGAGAAGGAAAATGAAGGAAGTTTTCAAGAAATTACGTTAACTGTAGATTCTTAGAGAAGGAGTATAGTATGACAGGAAGTCTGCAACGTTGCAAACGGAGATACGTCGTTTTGCACTTTGGCCATCGTGCCGTCATCATCCGTGAAAGTTGCCCAAAAATTTGGTTCCATCAAACTACAGCGAGTCCTCGGTTCTTAAGATTCAGAGCACCTGCGATTTCCTTATCTTTTTAATTTGATTGATTTTAACGGGAGGCAACTGATACACGACCAGTTCTAGCGGCTGATCTAGTTTCTCCAACTCGACCTGATCAAACGTCCCCAAGTCGAGCATATTAAATTTCCCGTCGGTCTCTCAAGCAGCCAACTGACAAGGACTCCACGGCTTTCGTCCGAGTAAAAACATACTGAGGAAAACTAAACCACTAGAGACGGATCCAGCAATTTGGCAACACCGGGGAGCCTACATTTAATCAATGTTAAATAATCGATTCTTGTCGGAGCAACTGGCCCCTCCGAGAATCGATACATTTCCATAGGTTTAAATGAAGAAAAACAATGTTGCCAATTTGCTGGATCCGCCACCACTGCTGTGTTATCGAATGAAGTGTTAAACGCTCTTGAATAGTCAGGTAAAACGTGGAAAAGTCAAGGAATTTCATTGAACCCTAGAAAGGGATCAAAAAGTCCGTGAATCTTGCTGCGGAACCTTGACATTTTTTCCTCCAGCCAAAGCACTGAATTTCTCAATCAATTTCAAGAGACCTCACATTTGAAGTTTTAAAATTTGAAATTAATTTTTATGAAGAATCGCACCCCTCTCCCCCAAAAAATTAAGAATTGAAGTCAGGCAAAATTCTGGGAATGCACGTTCTCACCGGGGTGCGGAAAATGCTCCATCTCGCACCCGCTCAAGCGTGTGGAAATGTGGATTGGCCCTTACAAAGGAAAGAGGGAACATTTTTATGGGCCAGAAGTCGAGAATCCAAGGAATAAGGAGGAAAAATGAGCGCACTTTTTTAATTGGTGGGACATTTTCGGAAAGCTGATTCGAAAAATTTTGAAAGCCGGCAAGCGGGCGTATGAATACGTGAAATGTTGGAAAATTCTGCACCCTTGCATTGTGGATTCACAATCCGTAAAAAGTCTGAAAATTTTGAAATCCAGCGATACTTATCCTCGTGGGCGTGGTAATACCGAAACTTTCGAAATACAATTGCCTTCAAAATTCGAGTAGATACTTTAGTTTAAATGAAGTGGAAATGAGAGGCTTCGCAGTTGCGCAGTATTTGGCACCTTCATCAAGCGAAATTTTGCTGGTGCAACATTTTAGCGAGGGCAATAAACTGACAGTGCAGCACCGACGAGGCTTGCGTCAGCTGG